CCCCAAAACCCCAAAACCCCAAAACCCCAAAACCCCAAAACCCCAATAATATTTTGTTTTTAATAATAAAATGGCAGAGTATCTCAATTTCTTTAGAACAAAGAAGAAAGAACAGCTTGACGAAGACGAAGAAGCTTATAAGCAACAAATGAAAGCTCTTAATGGAGCAAGAGAAATCCTTAAGAAACAAGAGATGGAGAAGGCTAAATAAGCTAGCAGAAGAGCAATCTTTACATGGAGGTATCACTGTTGTTAGTCCAGATATTGATGTCTCAATGGTTAGTCAGAAGCAACTGGATATTCTCCTCCAAAATCGCCAGGATATCCAAATCTGTCAGAAGCCAATTGAAGAGCAGGATATAGCAGAAGTTCCTATTAAGAAGCGTAAACAAGCACTAAGTCTGATATTCTATACTGTTGAATGAATGAAAAAGATAGCAGAATATACTAAAGAAGTAAATTCGAAGGAAATACAACTGACTGATGCACTTAAATCCATTATGGAGAATGATGAACAAATAAAATGAGTCGGAAGCGAAGCAGTCGATGTTCTCTTTAATGAAACCAAGAAAATATTCAACCAGAATGCCGATCTTGTAGAGAGAATCAGTGAAATAGAGCAAGAAAAGTATAAACTTCAGGAAGAAATGAAGGAGTGTTACCAGAAATAACAAAGTCCTCACCATGGAAAATGAGTCCCTTAAAAGCCAACTCGACTACGAACGAAAAGAAAACAACAAATAACCTGTGTCAAGTCCACCGTCTCCAGCAGAAACTTGATGAGTTCAAAAGGATGAATAATGAAGAATTCTACAAAGTCAAAAGAGACGAAGTCAGAATCAGAAAACAGCTTGATGAAGTTAAACTGAGATACCAGAGATCTCAGGATGCACTCGACAAACTCAGACAGAAAGAAGATGAAGTCAACGAAATGCAAGAGTACTTCCAAGAACTTAAAGACGAAGAAGACCAGAAGCGTATTCAGCAACAGCTCCAGTTTGAAAAAGAAAAGCATAGTCTATTGGGACTGATCAAGAACAAAGACAAAGAACCCATATTATGTTTGCTTGGGTACCTTGAGCTACCAGAAGTCAACAAATTGTCACTGCTCTCTAAGTCCTACCACTCTGCTTTGTGACACTCAGGAACTTACATCTGGAAGGCTGCTTATCGCAACAATAACAAGATCCACCAGGCCATGACCAAAGAACTTCAGAGACAGATTGATGTCAAGAAGCAAGAAATCAGAGACATTGTGCCAGCCAGAGAGTTCAACCCTGATGACTTCGCTGATGATGTGGCTGACACTGACATCACAATGTTGCTGAAGACTTACTGAGTCGACAACACCAGAGTCGGAGAAAGCATCCAAGCCACCATGTTTAATGCGAAGACATTCCTCAACAAACAATTTGCAGAAATGCGGAGACTCTTCGAGCTCGAACAACAGAAACTTCTGCAGCAGAGAGAAGCTCAGAGAAATGCTCCTAAGCAGAAAGGAGGGCTTTTCGGAATGCTCTTCAACAAAATTGGAGGACAGCCTAAGAAAGAACAAGACAGCATTGAACAGAAACCTCAAGAAGCAAACCCAACTTCAAGCGAGAAGTACTTGCTTTCAACAATGGACCAGCCTCCTCCTAAAGTTGAAGAAGCCAAACTGATAGACTTCGATGATGACCCACAAGAACAACAGAACCCAGAGAAAGAAGTCCCCATGAAGATTGAAGATGAAGAGTCCAAACTTGCAGATTCAGAAACTCACCAGGAGACAGTGGATGAACAGGACTCATTCGGATTTGGAGACCAGAGAGTCCGCTCAGATAGTTTGGCTAGCACCAGCACCAACAGGATGTACAGTCGTAAAGACCTTAGTGACATTGTCAGCGTTGACGAGCTCCACAAGTTCATGTACAAGTGAGGAGCCATGCTAGTCACTCAGAGCCCAAGACAGATGGAGGAGTGGGTTGATTGGATGCAGAGAACTCTTGCTGAGTATTATGTGCGCTGCCAGGCTTTGTACACCCAAGCCAAAGAAGTCGAAATGGTCAAGGACTTCTTGAGTCTGAAGCTTCAGGCTGTACAGCACAAACTCAACATCGTTACAAACGAGAAAGAAGACCTTCTCGAACACCAAAACGCTGAATCTGGCATCAAAGAGTACCTGGCCAAACAAATGCAAGACCTCAACACCAAGCATATAGAGAAAACACATGAGTTGGTCATGGCCAAGCAAAAGCTAGCTGAGGCACACCAAGAAGTTGAAAGCGTCAAATACGAATATGATGAAAGGCTTGTCGAGAACGAAAAGGGAAGAATCAAGTTGTCCAAAGAACTTAAGGCTCTCAGAAAACACTCTAAGCTGCTTGAAATCGAGAACAAAGAGTACAAAGACATTTTCAGCGAAATGGAAGACTATATTGCTCGATTGCTCAGCAAGAAGGCCTCATAAGTCCACATCACTTCGCACTGATACTGGCTGAGTAGTTAGGAATGTTCAATAATCTTAGAAATGATTGGGGTTTTGGGGTTTTGGGGTTTTGGGGTTTTGGGGTTTTGGGG